GTGGCGACGCTCCGAAAGGAGCATCTCGTCCTTTTCTGTGTGGGAGATGTGACAGGCAGGCGTCGGAAGACGGCATCCGCTTCCGTCGGATGACTTCACGGCGACTACTTTTAGGGTGCTTTCGCATATCCGTGGTACAAAAAGCGCCTTTGTCCTCACAGGTGTGCCCGTGAGGGAGAAAAAAAAAAGGAGAGGCAAAATGACTCTCTCTGTGTGTTAATACTAGGGACCCTAACCTGTAACCTACACTACACCCGAATTGCTTAATATTAATAAGTAGCTCCAAAGAATTTAGGGTTTTTACCAGCTCACTTGCAGATTTGGAACTGATTCTGAGTAGACACTTTAAACGATTGCACTGTGATGCTCATCAGCAAGTAAGCCTGTTGAAGACACAAGAGCTTACCTCCAAGTTAGGCATCCAATAGGCTCGCACCTATTGTGTGTGAAAGGACTCTTACAAGCCCTGCTTGAATTAGGTGTGATCGTTATAATAAAAGGGAATAATTTTTATTGTTAAACGGTAGGGAAGCTCCACGATATAGGATGGGAAAGAAAAGTTGCTTTTGCTTGTTTTCTGGTTAATTGACATGGATTTGGGGGTATTATACAGGAAGTATTGTTTGGTTAGAACTATCTACCATATAGCAACAATATTTCCCATAGAAGTGTGTGAGAGGGGCTGGACTTGAATGCACTGAAGTCTGAGTGATGTAAAGTCTCCTTCTGTCTCTGTTCAGGAATTGTCACTTGCAAGAATTGAATGGTGTACCAGGTGAAGTGATTAACAAAAGATGGTTTGGGTATGAAATGCTTTCAGTGTTTCCAAGAGTGGACCAAACAGAAAGTTTTTCTGAATGCAGAAGTAGACTGTAGAGGTCCTACCTACAGTCAGAAATCAGGAACTCCTAGGAATTGGGTTGGATGCATAAATCAAACCGGAAAGGGAAAGGAAATGTCTTGGTTTTGAAATTATTTAAGAGCTACTTGTGAGAGAAATGGCTATAGTGGACAGGCTCTAGGAAAATGACTTTTGATGTGGAATAGCAGAAGTATGGAATGATTACAAAACTACAGTGAGTAACCATAGCAAATAGGGCAACAAAATTTTATTTTTACTTAAATAACAATAGACATGAACTAGGAAAGAAAAACAGTGGTCGAAATCCTATTTATCATAGTACCTGTACATACATTTGTTCTAGAACAGGCCAGTTGAATCAGTGGGGATTGAGTGAGTCCCTTCCTCCAGTTTCCATTATTTCAAACCAGTCTATCTATTTGTGACTTACTCTGTTAAAGTAGATTACATTTTTAAAAATGCGAGAAAGACTCCAGGATTGGAACACGATGATTTACATTTTTTCCTTGGAGTGCAAAAGGCAATGCAAATTAGCCTGGAGTCTCCCACCCTCACAATCCATAGTTTCCCCTTCCTTACCTTCCAGTTTTTGCCTCTGTGGAATTTTTTTAAAGGATAGATTTGTATTGGTTCAGGCATGTGATTGCTTGAACTGATGCAGAAAAGCTCCTCCATCGGCATAGACTTATAGCTTCTCCTTTCTCGATGAGCAAGATTCCTATTCTTATTTTTTTAACAACTTCTCTTTTTTCCATGGGCAAGACTCATCTTTTTTTTTTTAAAAAAAAAATTAAGAATGGAGAGCAAAGCTCCTCTCTGTTGGCAAGACTTTTCATTTTAAAAAAAGGCAAGAAGAAGAAATCAGATGTGGAAAGTCTTGTTACAACTTGTTAGGAAGTTCCTTTTAAAAGCACCCCCTATAGGCATTTAGTGGAGCTGCAGACAAGTAGAATTTGCATTTCCTTCACTGTGTAGTTTCATCCTAAGTTACAGTTTGATTAGACCCATTAGAATGACTAGAACTTGAGGAAGAGTTGACTCAAGTTAACTGAGTTAATAGGTGAGCTCTAGTGCAATTTACTACACTAAGCAATAGGATTTGGGCCATTGCGGTCTAGTTATCAATTATTTGTATATCATTCTTAGCTAGTAAAGTATTTCACAATTCTTCTTATTTCATTCATTGCAGTGATACTGAAACTTAGGTAGGGTGTTTCAGTTGTTAATAGCTTCTGGCCCTGGGTTTCAAAGACTTGCAGTTTTTCCTCTATAACATAGAACTGTATCACTAACGTTACTTCATATATAGGATTGTAAAGCTGAAATTATAGTTAACACTTTTGTAGTACATGTGAATTTTCAAGTGTTCAAAGCATTTCCCGAGCATTATCTAGTTATAATTTTTATAACCATCCTGTAAGTTGAATATTACTATGTTCTGTATCAAAGTACTAAAATTAGTACTGAGCAAAGTACTAAAATTGATAGATATTGGGTACATTGATATTTTAAGCGGATAGTAGGTTGATGCAGTAGTTGGTTTGTAACCCAATACGACCTAACACGTTTATGACAGAGGCGGATTCCAAACCAGGAATTATTTCTTGTCCATATCTCAGTCATGTTTTAGCAGCCACAGCAACTCTCAGAATACCAAAGTTAGTGGGCCAATGTGTGATTTAAACTACATACTTACCAGGTCATCATAACTCACACTCTTGAACACTTGACTGCATGAGTACTGTAGCTCTGTGTAGGCATTCATTAGGCAAGTAAATAAAACGTGCCAGGAGAGAGGGAGTAAGAGAAAGCACCTAATCACTTCAATTGCTGTCTGTGTATGGAAGGCAATAAGTCTAAAGAGGAGGACTTCCATTAAGAGGATGGCATGTGGAAGGTGATTGAATTGGGGGATGAGAAAGATGGGCCCATCACTCTCATTATTTTGTGTTTAATCTAAACATTTAATGGAAGTCTGAATAGGGTTTATGTCTCCATTTGGTCAGTTCTGCAATTATTAATATGACAGCAGTATTAATTCTCCTTTCACAAAGGAAGGATTGAAGCAGCTTTTATCTGAAAGAGGATTTGAATTTAGGTTTGAGGTGAAATATTTGCCCACTGAACTGCTATGGGATCCGTTTTGATGTTTGTGACTACAGGCGTAAGACTTGAGTTGACTTCTACCCTGATGTTAGAGAGATATACACAGGTTCAGTGGTTAAACTGCAGTACTACAGTCAAGTCTGTCCTCACAACCTGAGCTTAATCCCAGTGGATTCAGGTAGTTTGCTCATGTTTGAGTTAACCTTCTGTCTTTCCATGTTTGGTAAGTTGAGTACCCAGCTTGCTGGCAGAACAAGGTGTCATTTGCATGATTATATTGTATACTGCCCAGAGAATGCTCTTAACATTATAGGGCAGTATATGTTGAAACAACAACATTTTAGCTGACATAGCACATAAACTACTTTTGGATTTGTTGCCATTCCCAGTAGAGAAATATACACACCATAGGTCCAGAAACACTTGAGACCTTTTAATTTTTGTGACAGAAAAAACATTAGGCTCATTTATCTAATTATGACTGAATTGTGGCTTGTTTTTTTTTTCCATTGCCTAGTGGGCACAATCCAACTCCCACTGATTTTGATGGCAGAGATGTTAGCGCTGATGCTTTGCAACAACTCAGTCATACACATTGCACAAGAACAATTACCCACCAGACCATTGCCCTGAAAAATGTTTATATGTCTAATGTTTACCTCAATGATACAAATCCATTAAATTATTATATTTAATGCTAGATGGTGATCCAGAATACTGGAAAAACATGGTAAGTCACATTTACTTCCTCTCCCTATTCCAGCTATGCATAATTATTTAAATAGTGTATGATGAATGGTAATTGCAAGGTGCACAGATTATTCTGTGACTGTTCTATCCTTTTTTTTCAGATATAGTAAATTACCTACAGGTCTGTGATAATCTGTCTCCTATAGGTGAACTGTTCTGCAGTTCCTCAAAGTTCTGCATGATAAAAGTAGCTCCACTGAGTGCTCTTTTGTTTTTAAATGTGCTGGGCCTGCTTGTTTTGTGGCTTCTTAAATCTTGGATTTTTGTAGAACAGTCTATAAGCAAAAGAGCTGCAGCAGTCAACCATGGAAACAAGAGGAAAGTATCTGTGAGTGGTAGAAATGATCACTTTTATTCTTAGGATTGACTTTAAATGTTTTGAATTTCTTCTACCCTTTCTGAAAGTTGTATTTCTGCAGCATTCCAGTAGCTGAAGGTCTGTGTGGTTGGTAAGAACACATGTAGTAGCACAACAAGGCCTTTTGAAGACCAAATTAAGACCTAGTATTTCTGCAGAGGGTATGTTAGGGGTTGTCTTCTGCTTTAATTTCTGTGTCATTACATGTGTGGAAAGGAAAACTTCTTAATTTTTCAGCAAGCCCAAACGTTACTATATCTTCTGCAAAGTATTTTTGAGGTCAGAAAACCAGTAGGCAGAGAGGAATATACATTTCCTTTTCTGCAATCTCTCTGGAGGTTTAACAAGATTACCTCACAGTGTCTCTCTTTAGACATTCCACGTTGTCTGCTGCTTCTGTCTAGTTATTCCTTTATCCCTGTCTTAGGCTGCAACCAATTCTTTTACAGGTCTGATCTCACTGAGGGGTGGTAGCATGTTCTTCCCAAATCTTGCCAAAAGAAATGGTAACACATGATAACACAGAAGACAAGGATGAGTTTGTTTGTTTCAGTAAGTGGCCATGATGTCACAACTGAAATCAGCAGAGTTTTTTTAAAACAAAAACAAACACCTCCCTTAACACTTCATTCAGTGACTGAAATTGAGAAATTAGAAAGTGAAGTTGTTATAGTTCAGTGTGGACAAAAGGCTGGCGATCTGAACTTGTCATTCAGAAGATTGAATATGTTTAGAGTATTATGTTTA